TATGCGCCAGATTTTTGCACCTACCTTGGCATTTGAGAACGCCACAATTTTGCGAGGTACTTTTGAACAATTGAAGGTCAGGTACCGTCACACCGCAGGTGTACTGTTTTTATGGCGTAAGAAGGATACAACTAAGTTGTACATCCAGTTACACCCTTCTGACGATCTGTCGAAGTTGGTGGAGTCAAATTGGAGCTGTGTCTTTTTCTGGAACTCTGATGGTCGCGTTCCGTCCAAACCTGTTCACACACCTGTCACACCTGACACTGTTGGTGCACCACCTGCACCACCTCCTGGTTTGGATCCTGATGAATACATGACACCTACCGGTCCTGCCATGCCTGGCGACATCTCTGGTGATCCCTTCACACCAGGTGATTTCTTTACTCCTGGAGACAGTCCAGATCCACCATTTACACCTTCTCCAGGCCAACCACCGCCAGACAATCCGTTTCCACCGTTTCCAGGCCTTTCACCACCGTCACAACCTGACACACACATGCCTGGAGAACTTCCGGACACACCACCTTCAGGACCACAACCGCCATCACCGTTTCCACCTTCTACTCCTGCAGCCACCGTTCCACCTATACCTCCTTCCTTTTTGCCATTGACTCCTGTACAGCCAGACACTCCTGTGGTTCCTCCACTTGTCGTTCCACCGTCTATTCCAGATGAACAGATGATTTTTGGTGAGAAGCGACCTACACCTTCTCCTGTGTCTGACCGCCCTTCGACGAAAGCTCGTCCTACCAGACCTGTACAGATGCCTGCCTCGCCTTCACCTCCTTCGGTTCCACCGAGCAACCATCTGGGGGGTGATGATCGACTCGTCTTTTCGCCGCCAGTCGTCCGAACACCAGCCAAGAAACGCAAACCGGAAGATGACATAGATGATATACCCGAATTTCCGGAAGAAGAGGACGCCGGTGATCCAGATGCTCAGCCATCCGGACCCAGCTTGCCGATCGCAGACGATGATGATGAACAGCCAGCGTCACCTCAGCCACTGTCACCGGAATCACCGGAAGCCGTAATCGTCGATTCCGATATTCCGGACGACGTAGCAGTTGACGTTGAAGAAGAGGAAGCAGAAGAAGATGACGCTGATTCAGATGAAACCATCGACTACAATGACCTGTTCGTGGACGAAAACAGTTGGAGCTGGCTGTCAGCTGAACAGAAGCTCTGTAGCAATACTGGTTCGTTCACTGTGCCTCGGTACATTGATGGTTCACCTGTAGACCTTAAGATTGCGCCGTCCTATGCTGACTTTGTAACGCCGTCTTCGTACATGGCACAGAAGAAGCGTCAGCTACTTCGTAAGAACTACGCCGACATCAGAGAAGTCTACTCCGGTATTACGGAGGAAGACAAGGCCTTCCTGACCTTGTATCAATCACAGGAAGACAAATTTTCCTATCTTGTCGGCAAGAAACGTAAGGAAGCAACCCAGCAAGAAAAACGACAGTTTGCCAAACAATTCCTGGAAGCCAAACAAGCCGAATGCAAATCCTGGTTTGACAACGATGTTTTCGAGCTTGTTGACATGCGTAAACTAAAGATCAGGAACTATGTTGCTGGTCGCTGGGTCCTTACTATCAAGAAGGACAAGGACGGTAACTTCCTCAAGTGTAAGGCACGCTGGGCGCTAAAGGGTTTCCAAGATAGACAGAAGGACAACCAACAAACCGACAGTCCTGCAGCCAGTCGTTCAGGTTTTCGCTGTGCAACACAGTTTGCAGCTAACTGTCAATGGGATCTGTATCATATGGACCTAAAAACCGCCTTCCTGCAAGGTGAAGCATATGATGAAACTAGAGACATCATCTGCCAGATCCCGTCCGAATGCGGATATCCACCACACATAGGAGCAAAGATGAAGAAGTCCGCATACGGTCTGAACGATGCACCACGTAGATGGTGGCAGGTTGTCGATAAAGCACTTCTTAGTTATGGACTTGTGCCAACTCGAGCTGATCGATGCACCTATATTTTGTACGGCGATAAGATGTCATCCAAGGACACTTCGTTGTCAAAGTCATTCCGGAAGACGTCTACGTCCAATGATTCTGTCCAAGATGCTATCGACATGTTGCTGGATCCTGTAGCGCAGAATAATGCACAAGGCCGGAGACCACATGGTTTCATTTGTCTTCATGTCGATGACTTGTTCATGGCTGGAGACAAGGTCTTTGCAGACAAGGTGCTTGCCAGCATTCGCAAGGACTTTAACGTAGGCTCGGAAGACAAGAATGACATCATGTTTGTTGGTCAACGTATCAAGTGGAAGACTCATGATAAGCAAGGACCATATACAGTATCTCTTGTGACCAAAAGCTTGCAGTAGATGCTGTAGAGGAAATCAAGTTTGATAAACATCTAAAGGACAACGTTGCTTGTAATCCTCAGATGCATACAGCATATCGCTCTGTTTTAGGCCAGCTCAACTGGTTGCAGAGTCGAACACAGGTTCACTTGTGTTACAAGTTCTCTAGATGTGCGTCCGCCGCTTCGAGTCCGACCATTGGTGACGTGCGTGAGATCAACAAGGTTGTTCGTACAATGAAGAGCCAATATGTGGATGCTCGATTCTGGCCTCTCAAAGGCAGTCAACGCATCCTTGGCTTTCCTGATGCATCGTACCGAAACAACAGTGACAAGTCCAGTCAGCGTGCACACGTCATCTATCTAGCTGAAGAAAGGCAGCCATATAACTCTCGATATTCCGAGAAGAAAGATAGCTCAGCTACACGTGGATCTATTATAGACTACGAGAGTCATAAGATCACTACTACTACTCAGTCTACCACTGTCGCTGAACTACAAGCTCTGATGAGGTGTTTTGGCACGTGTCTTTTCCTTCGTGCTCTGTGGGCTGATGTCAGTGGCCAGATTCTTCCTATCCACCTGAGAACAGACGCAAAAAACCTGGTCACCACTGCACAAACCACACATCTCCCAGAGCAAAAGGAAACACATCACCTCATCCAGATGCTCAGACATGAGAGCAACACTGGCAACATCGATGACTTAAGTCATGTCGCAAGTGAATTCTGTCTCGCTGATCCTCTAACAAAACACACCGCTAAACCGGATGAACTTGTAAGAAGCATAGAGACAGGAACACTCCGACAGGTTGATGTACACCCACCTTTCCGCACACTTGTGAAACACAAGGCCTTTATAACTGAGTGGGTCATTAATAACCTGCCGGATCCACAGTTTGTTCTCACATTCTTTGCTGGAGATATATCAGACTGTGTATATTCACTTATGTATGCTTCATGACATTTTTCTTGTGAATTTTTGTCTCAAGAAAATTTGTGTCTGTGACTGCATTTTCTGGTTCAAGCGCACTACTACGGACGAAGACAAGCTTGAGCATATTTAGTCTCTGTGATCATCATGGGCCGCAAGATTCCCGCAGCTGCTTCCGAGACTCCAGTGGCGCCTTCTCAGGCGAGGCGCCAGCAGCAAAGTCCAGGCCTCGATCACCGAGCCAGCCCTCCACTGCACGACCGGTATTACGGTCCAGACGCAGTGTGAGTCTTTCGCGTCAGAGCGATTCGCCGCCCGATGCGGCACATGCAGAATCCGGAACTCGCTTCATTGATGTTGTTCGCGCATCTTTGTCGCCTGAAGCCGGACGTAAAGGTACTGGCCGACATTCCGGCCGAGATCAATCGAAAGGCAAAGGAAAAGGCAAGCGCTCGCCATCTCGTGAAGAGCGCGTGCCACCAGTTGAATTGGTACCCCGCGAAAGCATTCGTCCAACTCAGTCCAACGTTCGCGGGTACCGCCTCCATTAGGAAAGCCTATTGTTACGCAGATTGATGAGATCATCGAAGTCGGTGCGCGCGGCACCTCGAGCCGTGGCCCAAGCCAGCCTGCCGATCGCCGACATTCCGGCGGAAAAGGCAAGCGACCAGAGTCGCGCAACGCCGAAAGCCGATATTCCGGCCAAGGCAAGGGCAAGAGCAAGGACACTTCTCGCGACGCAGGTCCTCGCCCTAGCGCAATGGACTCTGCATTCGACCGCCCCGAGCACGGTGTTAGCTCAGCTTTCGTCTACTGTCTGTGGATGATTTGGTCTGGCTTTTTCAAGTTCAGCGATGAAGCCTTGACCAGGATTTACGAGAGCGAGATCTATGACAAGATCTCTCGTGAGCTAAGCTGGATCCTCCGACATTCCGGAAGGACACATGCTGACCAGTCGCTCACCGTTTTTGAGCTAATGGCCGGGGCACGTTTTAGGAAGTTGCTCAGCGTTTGGGCACATACCTGCCATGCCAAGGAAGACCTTGCCTTCCCGGCCATGCAAAAGGCCCAATTGATTCGATAAATAGTCTTTTTTGATACCTATGCCCGGCGGAACAATCCGCAGGGGCAAATATAATCCTTACGCCGATGAGGTGTACTTTCCAGCGACTGTCATGTATTTCAAGCCTTAGCTTTGGTCGGCTCTAAACTGGCTGCAGAAGCGAGGGTTGTGTGTATAATGTGTATACAATATATATATATAATACGTCTACATACAGCATTGCAGCACGATCCATTCACCATTCATCTCTTGAAAATAGTCCAAGATCCCCGACTCAACAAACGCTGAAGCCCATTTCTCACAAGACCCCTACAAACCTCCTGTGGCTCCTTTTTATTGGATCAGGTCAAGCCTGTGAAGGACAAGGAAAGAGGTGTCGAGTGGATGGTGTGTAGGCAGTGCAATTAGGCCTCGTGATTGGCACTAAAAAGCAACTGTTTGCATCGTGACTGGAATCGAATTGTTCTTGGTCGTGCGTTTCTTGGTGTCCCCTTATACTGAATGTCTCTTTTGCGCCGAGGAGTTGCTGGACCATTCAATCGAACACCAGCAAGTGGTCCCTATGATGCAAGAAACCAGGGTATGTTTTGAGCTAAAGGGCTAAGGGGGTTCAGAAGGTGGAGCTCCACAGGTCCGACTCAAGAAAACCACCCCAGCTTCCATCAGTCCCAGCAGCTGAGGTCCAGGGTCATCACTTCGGTGAAGTCCAGCTTAAAGCGCACCAACAGCCTGTGGTGCGACAGTGAACTACGGTGTACCACGGTGAACCACCCTCAACATCCGCGCTCTTGAACCAGTCAAGCATTCGATGTGCAATTTCCTGCACACAACAATACAATACTCCCACGTGCCCCCCGCTGGAATTGTAAGTTTCCAAGAGCAGGATGGCAAACATGGTGCCAAATTCTGAACACCTGGATTTTCACTGTAGCTCGGGCTTTTCCAGGCGACTGTAATTGGCGGCCGTTCTGTATCCCAAAGACTTGCTTGGCTACTTATGGCTACCTATTAGTCAGTTTGATTGTAGATCCGCACCACTTTCACTCACTGGGGGGTCATTCATGTCTTCTCCATTCTGAACTTCGCGTTGCTTCTTGAAAACGATTCAAAGCCTCACCTCGCCCAAAGAATTGTCAATTTGGCAATGCTCTTTCAAAGTCGGCAAATGACTACAAACGAGCGGCATAGCTGAGAATTCGCAGGACCAAAAGTCATGCGAAGGTGGCTCTCACAACCACCGATGCCAAATATGGTTTTGAGCAACCGATATCAATAAGCTGCATCCACGGGAAGATGCGTACAGTATAGATGCTGCTAAGATGCTCCAAATTCGAGGACATGTCATCCTGGTAAGGTGCCAAGTAGCCATAGGTACCTCACGACTGCTTTTCGAAAATTGTCCAGTGTAGTATATACATTGTGAAAACATAATTCACTCAATACAGAATAGAGCAAAGAATGTAAGTTGAAACAGTTCTATACACCATATGTTACAATCAACAGCAAAGTTTACAGAAACTCATAATCTATTTCCCAAGAGCCCTTCATTTAATTGCCTAATATGTTCTTGATTGACATGCCTAAGACGATTGTGAATCTGTTCTGGGTCTTGAATAGGCCACTTCAAAAGAATCTTTGTAGGCAGTAGGCAGACTGCCAACACGTTGTCTGTCCTCATCTGATGCAACAAAACTACCCAGCCAACGATGAGAAATAGAAACGTCTGCAGACCGACATCCCCCAAGGCCCCCGCCATCGTGGACTCCGCCAGAAAAGGATCTCAAGCGGGAGTTTGTTAGAGTAAGGTCCTCCGCGGAGGGGTTTGTCACTGCTGTCCAGATCTCCAGGATAGCTTTCCCATGATCTCTGATAGAGATGCCAATCTCTAATTAGAAATTGGGGCAGGCATCAGTGTTTTGGGTTCCTAGGCGTCAATAGAGTTCCTTGGTGGTTCTGCATAAATCGCTGTCTTGTGCTTGTTTGTGTTGATGGTTAGGTGCCAGATCGCAGAAAGGCCGGCTTGATGATCTCAGAACCAGCAGCCAGACATGAGCTGAGGAAAAATTGAGAATACTGAGCTTAATTATATAAACAAAGCTGCTGAGTCAACCAGGCTCCACCAGATTTGCGCTAACAAGCATGAACATTGACAAGCATGAGCCCTTCACCACCTTTGAACAGGAGTCGTATGCAAATCAGTCAGTAAAAGTGTGCCAAAACAGCAAGCATGTTTACCTCCTTTTGCAGTATCTCAGTATCCATGTTTTGGCTCCCTCAAACAATTCAACCCCAGTCGGCAGGATCATATCTCCCAGGTTGTCACCCGTCCAGCTGCTCCACCAACGAGGTATTGGTGAAGTCAGACGTCAGGAAGCGAAAAATCACTCCTGCAGCCGTGCGTGGGCTTCTTTTTCGACACAATTGAAACAAATGTCAATGTGTTAGTAGATCACAAACTTTAAATTCAACGGCACTCAACGGGGTGTGCAACCTCAAGAGGAAGGTTATTTGAGCCTCAGCAATGAGCAGCTATGGCCGAATGATACATGCGTAAGAGGGAATCAGAATGCAAAGATGGAAAGGGGAAGCAAAGACAGGAAAACTGCTGTTCAAGAATGGATAACAGAATTTCGCACAGCCAAACGAGTGTGAGATGGCACAAGCAAAGGGAAGGAAGGCAGGAAGGAAGGAAAGGGAAGGAAAGGGAAGGAAGGATAATCTGGCCCCCAAACTAGCGATGCAGCATCCAGCATCGACCTGGACACAATCAAAGAGCACAAAGAACACTAAGACACCAACAATCATAAAATTTGAAGAAATGAGATCGTGATAAGTAAATAAGATGCTGCACCAATTGGCCACCACATGCGAAGAATTGAAAAACAACGGAGGCGATGACTAGCGGGATCCAAACTGGGAGACAACTGTGGCGAAAAGTAGAAATCCGAACACTTTATATAGGATTCAAAAATCCAGTAGTAAACGATTGTTTCCTTTTTTTTCCCCTGTGGCAATCCAAGTTGTTTTTTGTCAAAAAAAACCTGACCAAGGATTGGATCACAACCGTGGCAAAAGATCCTGATTAAGTGGTCTGAAAGGTAAAGGGATCGAACATTTGTTTTAGAAGGATCAAAAAACCTTCGGAGGATCAACAAATTGATATCAATATCAAAAAAAGAGTTGAGAGCTGAATTATGAGTTCCAATGCCCCGCCTTACTTTTTGATGTGGGAGTATTTCCTTCTAACCAGGTGTCTTTTCCATATCCCAGGGTTGAAAAAATGAACTGGCATCTCTGCAAGGTTGGAGGGAAGGGCATGGCCCCTTTCCCCAAGCACCCAGCAAACCCACGCATTGTAGCACACACACAAGGACAAAAAAAATGCTGGTTGTGGCCCTTGGAATCATAAGGGGTCTGTTGACTGCTGAATCTATTTCTGACTTTTATGGCTGCAGGGGGATCACCCAGAGACTTGACTGACGATCCAACAAGGAACAGGGTCAAGCTCCGTGCTGATATGTGGCCTGATCGGCCAGACATACTTACTGTGATTGCCTTCAACTTCCCAATGGCCCTTGCTTTAACTACAACAAGATCACCAGCCTTTGCACCGGTTATGCGCTCGGCAATCACGCATTATTTCTCGCTCTTGTTTCAGATTTGCTCACTAAAGCCTTCGGGCTTGGGCAATTGAGATGGAGGATCCGCCTTGCGTCTTACCATTTTGTATAATTACTGGCTTACTCAGGCACGTTTTCACTTACAGTAGGCCTTTGGGAGGTGGCGCAAGCTAATCGAACGCATCATATCTTGAGAGTGTGTGTGTGTGTGTCCCCTTTGGAGTCACGAGGTTCCTTTTGGATTGTTTTGCTTCATGATGTTCTTTCAGCAGGGGGTCGCTGGGGATTCGTGCAGTCAGCGACCAACGAAGACGCTGCACGTTTCCTGTGAAAACGTACCTGCTTGGTGCACCTGGGCGCATCGTAAGACGCAGCTGGTGGCCACCTTTACCATTTTAATTCTGCAGGTGTGCACGGACCGTCGTCAACCTGTCGCGCGATCGTTGGAGCTTTTGGATTTGAAGGCCACTTGAACATTGAAGGACCTCCACTTCTTTTCAGGCTCTCCTCACCTGCACCCTTAGGAAACGGTTACCTAGGCCGGCGTGTGGCAACCGCTTTCAAATCAGTACACCGGCTACTTTTAACTCAATTCAGCAAGGGGCCAGCGCATGGCATCACGATGCTGGCCAACAAAGCTGATGACGTCGATGTGACTGTGTACCTGTCGGATTCTTTATGGTTTAAACAATACTGTTTCTGACCCTTTCGCCTTTCCATTTGCTCAGGGCCGTTTCTCCAAGTCTTGACAGGTCGTCTACTGCAGTAATGTAACGGTCGAATGCATTCCGGAAACGATTGAACTTGCGCTCTCTCTCTCTCTCTCCCTCTCTCTCTGTGATTGGCAGCATCGTCCCACTGTGGTGCGCCGCGCAAACCCACTTCTGGGGCGCTGAAACCATAAACTCTTAATAGGGTTTCTCACTGAACTATCGTCTTGCATTGATTTTCTCTGAGCCATCGTTTTCGCACAGTGATCTCTCTTCTTCTTCTTCTTCGAATCGCACCCCCTTTTCAGTGATCTCCTCTGCTTCTTTCCGCGATGCTATCTTTCCTTCTTGAGGCTTTTCCATTGGCGGTTCCAAATTTGTGCTCCTTGTGGTATGTGGAAGTCTTGGATCTGGCCCTATGTCCACTGATTGGAACACAGCGCATCCATCAAATACGCCAATCCCTTGTTGCGCAATGCTTTGGTGAGTGCTGATGCACACCGCCCGTTTTAGGTACCAATCTCCTGAAATCACGAAGTGCACTTGCAGTTCCCAATGTTTCAAGCATTGTACAATGTGTTTTCACCAGCCTGCTTTCATTCTTACGTCTTCTCTTTTTCTCTAGGTCACTTTGTCGTTGCTTAAGGCTTGTTGGGTTGTAACTCAAACTCTTTCAGTCAAGGGAGCCGATTACGGCAAAGTGTCTGCGTGACACAGCCCTGTCTATCAGCGTACAACAAAATCCGTGCACACCTTTTCGTTCCTGCTTCTATTTTCTCTTGTTGGACCTTTCTCTTGTTGCTGGAGGCTTGTTAGGCTGTAGTTTAAGTTCTTTAGTCAAGCGAGCGCCGATTTCAGCAAAGTGTCTCTGAGAGACAGCCCTGATTATCAGGGTATCACACAATCCATGCACGCCTTTTCGTTCCTGCCTTCCTTTCCTTTTCTCTTGTTAGGTCTTTCTGTCGTTGCTAGAGGCTTGTTAGGTTGTAATTCCGGCTCTTGAAGTCAAGCGAGCGCCGAATAATGCTCCTGTGTGTGTGTCTCACACCCCGCGCAGGAGGCCTTTTCTCTTTAACTTAACTCAGCCAGGGGCCAGCGCGCGACATTACAACGCTGGCCAACGAGGCTAGTGATGCCATGAACATACCTGCACTTACTGCGGCGTTGACAAGCTGTTTACCCTCCTCTGCAAACAAGTGCTCGCCGCTCACTCGCTCGTCGACTTCGTCGAGTTCATGCCTTTGGAATGCGATGACTTTCAGGTTCATGGTCAAGCCTTGGCTTCTGGTCAAGGCTTCTGGTCAAGCTCGGCTCCTTAGGCGTTAATACCTAGGTGGGCGTGTGGCATGTAGCACTCAACTTCAGTATATACGCAATATCTCAAGTGTGTCTGGCATCGCGCCAGCCCGGGTGGCCGCCTTCCACCGCCGGGCGGCCATTCGTGTTTCTTTGGGCGCTACCAATCATCCGGACAGAACGCTATTCTGGAATGGTCTCCTTTGTCTACGTCTTAGACTGCTGAGATTTGTTGTCACTTGTATCTGGGTGTAGTGGTTTCTCGCCGGCGCTTCTGAGGACCAGCAAAATCATGGATGATGTCGCATCATTGCGCAGAAGAGTGGCGACTATAGCCTTTCTGGCACATTGTTTTGTTGCGACAGCAACCTGAGGCCATGACAGATTCCTTTCCTCCGAGCCAAACCGACAATCTCTGGGCTGGGCCCATTCTCCCAGCCGGAGAGTAGTACGAAGGATCCTTAGCGCAAAGGTAAGTTAAGACCTGTTGAGTTACTGATCTTGAGCGAGCAGCCCTCGGGCAGGCCATGAGGTGTCCGTAGCGGAGTCATTTTTGGCCACGACTAGACCGCAGCGGTCGCAGATCTCTCAAGACCCATTGGGGTCTGTCGGAGCCTTTGGTGCATATGTACTTAAGCCAGGCCACTTCCACCTACGTTCGTTCTAATGAGGTTTGGCTTCGTTTTTCCGGGCCCCTTCCTTTGGCTCCCCCTTTCATCTTTTCTTTCCCCCACGCACACTTTTTCTTTCCTCTTTCTTTTCATGTCTTTCCTGGCTTCATGTTTCGTCATCTCATCCTTTTTCTCTTTTCTGCACACACTGGTCCGACCCTTAGTGAGCACGCGCACCCGTACACGAAGCCCAGGCCTGAGGTATGGCTCATCTGGTTGTTCTTGGTCACTTGGTTCCTTGTCACCGCAACCACCCACACTGTCCGGTCTTGTCTTCCTCTCATGTCTTCATCCTGCGAGCGCGCGCGCACCTACACCTGAGTCTGGACCCTAGCTTTGGATTTGGCCCCCCAACACGGGGGGGGTTTGTGTGTGTGAAGCCCTTGGCGTCACAGGGAACCTTTTGGTTTCACTAGCGGGGAGGTAGTGGTCGTTTCAGCAGTCACTGCCTAACAAAGACACTGCTGATCGGATGCGATATTCGGAGAGGACGCTCTCTGAATGTACCTGCACTTTCTGTGGTGTTGACCAGCTGTTTACCCTCCTTTTCCTGTAAAGCGCAATCGAGTTCTTCAGACAAGTGCTCGCCGGTCGCTCGCTCGTCGACTTCTTCGAGTTCATGCCTTTGGAATGTGATGACTTTCAGGTTCATGGTCAAACCGTCTTACATACTTTACCTTGGCTTCTTAGGCGTTCATACCTATGTGGGCGTGTGGCATGTAGCATTCGGTTTCCGTAATAGTTAATCTCAAGCGTGTGTGGCTGTGGGGGGGGAGGGGGGGAGAAAATGGTGTGAAGAAACTGCTTCTTGGAGAAACGAACGCTCATGGGCGCAAAGCCAGCTCATGGGCTAAAAGATAACTAGACGACGGGTGGCCCGAGAGCGAGACATGTGATTGTCCAGCACTGTGGAAAAGATATATAGAAAGAGAGAAAGAAAGGATGGACGTGAAGGAGTGACAGTGTGGATGCGCAGGTGCGATACAGATGTGTAGATGTATGGAGGTGGAGAGGTAGATCTGTGGATGCGAGCGTGCGAAGATGCAAATGGACAGAGGTGAGAGAAAAGATATGTCTTAGGTTCGTAATGAGCCAGTCTCACTTCAAACGGCTCAAAACAAGTCATTCCCATTTCAAGAATCTGATTTCAAACCGATCAAAACAAGTCAGTCCCATTTGAAGAACAAAACAAAGAAAACCGTAAGCAGGTCGAAGCGCACACAAAATGGATTTGCGCGCGCTTCATCCTGGTCCCAAAAACAAGCGGCGAGCAGATATCCTGCGAGCAGAGGCTCAAAGCAAGTCAGTCTGACTTCAAGTATCAGACAAACAGAAAGTATACAGTAAGTGCGCTTCAAGTCATCAGCTCCACTCTCGCGGACAGGCCCTTCAAACCACCAACACTGCGACCTGAGAGCAAACGACGTTACGATCAGGATAAGTGACTCGTGCGTTCCACCTGCACATCGTTTGTCATGCAGGTGAAGTAGACACACATCAACGTCACGTCCCTTTTTGCGGCAGCCGCGGATCCCGTCGTTTAAGCGATGATGGGCGGATGTGAAGGAGTGACAGTGTGGATGTGCACGCGATAAACCCCGATCGCACTCTCGCCTGCACTTCGCGCACTCGACACACACGATCTCCGCAGCGGGCTGCCCGCGACAAAGCAAAATCGCACTCTCGCCTGCATTTCGCGCCCTCGACACGCACGATCTCCGCAGCGGGTTGCGCCGGACAAAACCAAATCGCACTCTCGCCTGCATTTCGCGCACTCGACACGCATGATCTCCGCAGAGGGTTGCCCGCGACCAAGCCAAATCGCACTCTCGCCTGAATTTCGCGCACTCGACCCGCACGATCTCCGCAGAGGGTTGCGCCGGACAAAACCAAATCGCATTCTCGCCTGCATTTCGTGCATCCGACACGCACGATCTCCGCAGAGGGTTGCGTTTCGTGGCAGTCCGGCGGCACTGCCCCCGGCCTTAAAAGACAAAGTTGAGAAGAGCGAGAGGTGAAGATGTGAGATGTAGATGTGAGGATGTGAAGATGAGCAGAGATGTAGATGTGCAGATGTGAAGATGAGCAGAGATATAGATGAGAACGTGATTGAGCAGAGGTGAAGATGTGAAGATGTAGAGGAGGTGTAGTTCTGCAGATTTTTTTACGAAGAACCCTTCGCAGGCGCTCTCGGGAAAAAAGATCTTATATGTTCCTAGAACTGACCCGTGGGTTGTTTTAAAAGGTTGTTCAAAACCATACCCGTTCTCAACCTAGGTTAAACAAACATGTGCCAGTGTCAAAACAAAGGGCTGGGCTCTAAACCCTTCCCTTCCCTTCCCTTCCATTCCATTCCTTCAGTCAATTCATAATGATTGTTTATTGATCCTGATAATACTATTCTGTTGATCCTGATATTGACTTTCTTTGACCCTGATAACTGATTGTTTTGATACCCATGCCATGCCTTCTCTAAAGCTACCTGTTCTGATCTGGTCTCCACGTTCTGGTCAGGTGAATACCCAATGCAATGCCCCCTATTCATGAGCTCATCAACGGAGACCTCTGAACCACCCATTCTAAAAACCAATGCTGAGACCTTCACTTTGGGGCTTTGTAAAAATTTGGTCACAAAACAGTCTTCGGTATCGTTCAACCCATGTGTCTCACAGCATCGAGCCCTGGCTCACCGTACATGCGTGGCAGCAGGTAGCCATAACCATCACTCCTGGGCTCCCAAGAGGTGTCAGCCACAAAGACCGCTGGACTCCTGGCACCTTCAAATGTTCTGTTTATCAGTGGACCAAAAGAATTCAGAAGATCTTCGAACCATTTCCTCCAAACTTCAACCCTGAAACAAGAAACGATTGACTTCGTGGCTGAGGGAAGCAAAACCCATCTGGCAAGGTCCTGGAACTGAGTAAACCAAACACAGCCTGCTACGATGGTAACAGGGCATCTCCATATCAAAATGAGGGATTTGATGCCTCGGTTGAAGACCTCGTTCGACATCCCGATTCATTTCACCAATCAATCCAAGGAGCGCGAAGCCATCTTGAAAATCAGACCCAGAGGGAAAGATGGACAAGTCCATGTAAGTCCTCCAAACACGAATCTAAAAGAACTTCCAAACTGGCTCAAACAGTGGACATAGACTTGAATAAACACCAGTCCTGTGGATGTATGACACAAAACATCAAACTGTTGCAAACTACATGGACAAACCACACTGGTGAACATTTAAGACGTGAGACATAACACTGGAGGCGCACATTTCGTGACACGTGCCATCCATCAAAAATGTGACGTGCATCATGTAGATGCTTCTTGTATATTCCTTTGTATTCTGCTTTGGACCTTTAAACTTTAATATTGTGCTTCATGACACTGATTCTTGTCAGATCCGTTTGGTGACTTGAGCAAGTATATAGTTGTTTTATCAAAGTGGGTACTTGAGCAACGGAACCGCCCTGTGTCGCACTCTCGCCAACGAAATGTCCGCCCGTACGCCATCGGTCCCGGAGCTGAAGGTTTCCAAGTCGAAGCGCAGCACCATCTGGGGAGGAAAAACAGGACGGGTCAAAATATGGGGGCATCGTACCGGCAGAAAGGTTTGGTTCAGAGCTACTTCACAAGGACATTCTCCAATATTTTGCAAGTGGGGCCTTATCGTGTTCCGCATATGTCCAAAACTCACCGATACAACTTACTGGAACCAAACCCAAAGATGGAGCTGGCTTTACTTTAACCAAACCAGGAAATTCCGGTCGCACTGAAAGTGCTGAGTGGCGTGAGGAGTGGTACTTTTTTCGCTTGGGAACGGAGTTGCATTTCCAGAATCGTGAGATGTCTGGAGGGGAAATGGAGCAGGGAGAGATGATGCCAAAACCGGGGGAAATGCAATGCTTTGCAACATTTGACTTGAAGGTGCTGTGCAAAATGATCCGTGTGCAAGGCATGAAGTGGTACGTTTGCAGTGAGAAAGCATCCAAACTGTTGAAAGGAGTCGTTGAAGTACATCATGATGTCTGATCATGAGTAATAGAAAAAGGAAGTTGGAAACAGTATGGCGCAAATGCTACAAACAAAAACTGTTCAGAATGCTTGATTAACATAAGACCTAGAGATGAAGGGCACAAAGCAGCTGAGGAAAAGAGAAGTTTGTAGTGAGTACTGTAACAAACTGGAGGCATTGTTGGATATAGGTTGGATCCCTTAAAATGTACCGTTTCAAGCGGGTCGAAAAATAGAGTGATTACAATACATGCAATATGATGCAACCAGACAGAGTAGAGTCAAGTCCATCGCATACGATACAGCCCACAAGTATATAAAGTGGGTGCGGATTCGATTTTGAAATTAGTTTTTTGCTTGGAATTTTTTTACCCATCAAAAGAGAGATTTCAATATAAAAGTCATTTAAAAAAATAGTGAGTTACCAGAAAAGTTATCAAAAGTAGCGATTGTAATGGGTCAAAATGAGAGATTGTGACATTACAAGAGCAGAGAATTCAGTAGACAATTCATCAAACATGTTTCAGCAGAAAAGTTATCAAAAGTAGAAATTTTAAGGGGAAAGGCATCAAAAGTAGAGATTTTGACTAGAAGAGTGCATCAAACGTAGAGATTTTTGAATAGAAAGTCCTTAAAAACAGAGTTTAATAGAGTTTCAATACGTAAGTCATAAAAAGTAGAGACTTTCGATAGAAGAGGCATCAGGGAGGGGGGGCGGAGGAGGGCGCAGCGCCTCCCCCGCAATGAACACAAAGTATAGCGCCACAAAAGCCACACAGAAGACAAAGCCACAAAAGCCAAAAGCCACAAAAGCGAGAAGCCACAAAAGCCACAGAAGCCAAAAGCCACCAAAGTCACCTAACCACTAAAAACAGAAAAAGAAACCGCTAAAAAGAAAATACCCCTTAAAGTCGCCCTCCCCACAGAAACCACCAAAAGCCACCAAAAGCCAAAAGCCACCAAAAGCCACAAGCCTGCAAAAGCTATCAAAAACAATTTAAAAAAAAAAAAATAGAATTAAACCAATTCCAAAATACATATACCCTCCTATACTATATACCACGATGTGATATAACATGTGGTAGATGAATAAACTAATATATAATATAGAAAATAACAATTGGCAATTTGCAGGCATTGACTTTAAATTGGACCCCCTGAAAAATATACCATTTCAAGGGATCGACACATAAAGTAGATACGAAACAGTATGACAGAATAGAATACGGTCATTCTTAACAAAAGGTACCATCAAATTGTATTGTATCATCATCACATGTATACCCACTTGTACTGCTTGCCTTCGTCTGCTATTCCTTGCTGTTTCGGCCCTGCCTATGCTTGGGCGACTTACCAGATATCTCCAAATAACTCTCCAACTTCTTACACCTCTAGCTGAATCTGCCTCAGACATAAAAGATCGATAGGCAATATTTTCCCCATGCTGCCTTTCAAAGCATCTGGCACGAGCGGTTGTCATCCCGAAGCGACCTGAATAGTTTGGCAGCCAAAGACACCGTTGAACCAGACCCAGGCACCCAATAGCCATAGTTGCCTCGGGTTTGGGATAGAGACAATGAAGCGGGGCCTTCATCCAGAGACGGGTAGCCCTCAGCCCGGCCCTTCACCTCCGAAGATGTCACTGTTGTGGGACCTGGCTTGTAACCAATCTGGCTATTATCAGACTATCCTCCTATCTGATGCCAAACTCCAACTGCAGAAACATGGGGATGCTCTCCAAATAACCATTCTCAATAGTCCAACCATTTTGGGGGGTTGTGTGAGGTGTTCCAGGTGTGCAAAGGCTAATGTAATTTTTGCCCCACTCAACTATGTCAGCCTGCGGTGTTTGCTGAAAGTAAACAACTTCAAAAAATTTGCTCGTCCACCTGGAAATGCAAGCTTGGTCACCATCATGAAAGCCTCCATTGAAGTAGAGCGTGGCGGAACCTCAAATGCTGCAAATCCAGCTGTTTCTTCAAGACCCCAATCTATCCTCCAACGGGAGGAGGATCCAATGTGTTCTGACTGCAACTGGTCCGTTCGGCCTTAAGCAGAAAGAGACTCAATTTGACTTGATGATTCCAACGAGACTTGGTCCAAGTACGGAATAAGATCCTGGGTTAGTGGAGACCTTGTTTTGGGGCATGCTCCCAAAAAAGCAAAGATTCTAAGAACACTTTTGCTCACACTTCATCAAGATGCATTAGCTGCATTAACTGGTCAATCGGAATCGCGACAAGCTCATCGAAAGATGTACGTCCCAGGAAATGCCAGATATATCTTGGGTGGAAGTTTCTATAGGCACTATAGAAAGAGCATCACGCAGAAAATTGAGACCTATAGTCATAGTCTATATATATATATAGTGCCCTTTGTAGTAAGGGTCAAGATTCCAGCACACAGCGGCGTGCGGGTGTCTTTTCGACGCTAGAACAAACTAGATTGTCCTAGCACACCGTTAGAAAGATCTAGAATGTCCTAACACCATCCTAGAACAAACTAGTATGTCCTAACACCATGTGAGAACAACTAGTTTTTACTGACAACATGTTAGACATACTTCTGTGTACTAATACCATGTTAGTACAAACTAATGTGAACTAACACCATGTTAGTACATACTAGTATGTACTAACACCATGTTAGTACATACTAGTATGTACTAGCACCATGTTAGTACAAAAAAGTATGTACTAATAACATGTTAGAACATACTACCACAATGTTTGAACGTACTAACAAAATGTTAGTACGTACTAACAATGTTCTCAAATGTACTAACAATGTCCCCAGAATGTACTAACAATGTCCCTGAAATGTACTAACAATGTACTAACACGTGTTAGTACGTGCGAACAAACATTAGTACGTTCAACATTTTGTTAGTACATAGTAGTTTGTACTAACATGGTGTTCGTACATACTAGTTTGTACTAACATGTTGTTAGTACATGCTAGATTGTACTAACATCGTGTTAGTACATTGACATACTAGTTTGTACTAACATGATGTTAGTACATACTCGTTTGTTCTAACATGGTGTTAGGACATACTATTTTGTTCTAACGTGGTGTTAGGACATTCTAGATCGTTCTAACGTGGTGTTAGGGCATTCTAGTTTGTTCCAACGTCGTTTCTCGCCAGCATTTCAGATGTGGTTCAACTTCCTTGTGTAGTGTAGTGTACAGTATAGGCCCGGCCCCACACAGCCTAAAGCAACAACAATTCTCAAGTGTACAAAAGCCAGATTGCTAGAGGTTTAGGGGGCGCAACGCCTTTCCAAGTGGTAGCAGCGGTGAAATGTTTGTTCGCACATTGTTCGGACACCATTTGGCACAACCCTGTCTGGCACACACCAAAAACCTTTGAAAAAACACAGATGCTCTAAAGTGCTCACACGGTAAGCCGACAAGCAAAAAAGCAAGTCTCGCCGGAATTAGTAATTTGACTTGGGTGCTTGCACAAAGTTGGGCTCCCCAATAAATCCAGTGCTGAGGGGAGAAGAAGAAAGTTCATCGCCTGACATGAGGTTGATCTACAGTAATTTCTTATCCCCAGTGCAACCCAAAGCTTGGCCTGGATCAGGGCCAAAAGGGAAGGCGTTGTGATTTGACATAGCAGGTAGCAACTGGAGCACTTTCACAAGTGGCAACAAATGTTTTCACCCACCCACTGTTCAGGAGCTCCATGGTCACATGTCGTCCAAGTTGCCAGAGGTTGGAATGGTCATAAAGGAGACCTGTAAATTGTTGGCTGCATTCGGTGCCAGGCCGATCCTCACCACCTCCCTTGGCTTTGCGATCAGCTGAAAAGCAACTGCAAGTGTGTCTGATCAGAATCTCCACAGCTTCCCGTGCCCATGGACACAATGAGATACAGTCACATGTGTTTGATACATGCATCCTAAAGCCTCTGTTCCAAACTCTACACGCGTGCGGAGGGTCACTCCTGCAAGCCTGCTTATCCGAAACTGAGACTTGCGAATATCGGGTCTATCCACAACATATGCACTCTGAGATCATGGAGTCTGCCATCCACAAGCACAAACAGCCCACTGTGCCCCTGCATCCCAGTGTCGTACCACCACCCGGCAGCATATAGACATGGACATCATCAGTGAATTGGCTTCCCGTGCTTGTGTAGCTTTCCTTGTGTGTTGTGCTCCGGCCACACTGCAAACTAAGCAAACAGTCAATCAATAAATTGTTTTTGTTACTAGTAGTAAGGCACTTGTTTCTAATAGCTTCTTGTTACTACTAGTAAGGCACCTGTTACTAGTAGCCAGGCACTTGTTCCTAGTAGTTTGCAGTCCGGACGAATCGAACTATTTGTCTTCATGAGGCTTTGGGGACACCTCTGCAGACCACGCATAGGTTGGCAGGCATCAGCTGCTTCGTGGAGGACGAACCCCACTACTGCCAGCTTTCTATGGACTGACATGTAAAGTGACCTCAACAGTGGATTTCTTGTGGGCAGGTCGTTTGGGGCAGGCAGCAAGAAAGTACAGCAAGTGATCTTTGTTCCACAATGGGTAGAGCTTGATTTGAATGTAGAACGTAGACTCAGATGACAGGTTGTCATCTTCTTTTCCAACTTTCGGGGCCAAATGTTCCAGACCGCTAGAGCACCCCACCATGCTCTCAACAAGAGGCTTCACCCCCAAATAGTATTTTTCCCTCTCAACCCAGTTGCCACAGCTTTGGTCTTCCCTTGCGACCCCTCTTTTGGAGGGCACGGATGACAACCGGCCACGTCGTTTGATCTTCTCGGTCAAAGCGTCCAGAGATGAGGTCAAGCCATATTGCGACACCTGCAGTTCCAAAGGATGACACACGAACCTCCAGCGGTTCTTAGGTAGACTCAACTGCAGTAATTGTCCATGTAGGCTTGGTGGGCTTGGTCGGAAACTCTGCATCGTAGTCTTTCGATATGTAAGAAGTTGAAGAATCAAGACAAACCCCAAGATCCAGCTATGTGAGCATCCATCAAGGATACCTACTTGAGATGACTCTAAGCCCATCTATCGCTGTTTCTTCATCTAGGAAACATATCCATGCTTTGGACCGCATACCTTCACAACTACCAAGAGCTTCCACTGTATATACCCAAATAAAAAGCGTGCCTGTGCTTGCCTCCTTGCACGCCTACATGCCTGCCAATCTACTTACTCTATACAAATGATACGTCCCTTGGTAGAGGTGTTAAAATTTTCCTGCTTTGGTTTGATTCCAGTGACCAGTACAATTGACCTAGTGTCAAAGCACCCGAGGCCCGAGACCTTTCTCCAAGGTCACTCGTGTCACAAAGCTCCCTTGACGGATGTCGATTGCTGACGGTATTTGCTAGTCACTCAGATCACCCCTATGGGGAGCTGACCAGCACGAATAAGACACTGCTTGTGGGCTGTCAAATAGTGTATGTTGCAGTGTTTGCCGTTCATTCATAGGTGATGACAGGGGTGTAAAGTAGTGTCTGAATGATCTGGCTGTATCCGGTTCTGATGATGTCATACAGTAGCGTTGACACTAGAGCTCTTTTTCTGCAAACAGTTTGCTTGCAACTTCGCGGTTCATACAGCAACTGTAAGGCAGGGTTCGCCGCCAGCGTTCATGTGTGCCACTTCGCCATGTTTGGTCGACCTTCATGCAAAAAGTGGTCCTCATCGTTGTTGCATGGTCATTCTCTGGCTTGCAGGATGAATTTCGGCGGTTTGTGTACACTGTCCGGGCAAGCCCCACACGAAACCCACACGACCGCCGATTGCTTTCCCGCCTCCTGACTACACGAGCGCAAAGTCTCCTGTCGATTCCTTGTTGGAGAGCCACCCGGCTGAGCCACTTACAAGAAGCCCTTTAGGAGGATGGAGTTGGACATGGCATATGGGGTTGTATTTAGATAGGAAAACCCCCAACCAATGGGCTTTGGTCTATGATTGGTCTTTCTGGGGTCTTTGGAGGGTATCTGCCTCCCTATTCTTACACATCATGTTACACATCCATACAGACACGACGATCATCTTCCACATCCACGGGAACTGACTCCAAGTGAAGCCATCAAAGCTATTGAAGAGACCCTCTCCCGACATCTTCTTCAAAGCACCACTTGAGCCACACCTGGAGCATTTGTGGATTGTTCAGCTCATATTGGATCCTCCTCTTGAACAATTCCACCATCCACCGCTGAACCCATGTCACCCTTTCCAGTTTTGACACAAAACTCAATCCACTCGTTGACTCGTTGTCATGGCCAAGGATCCTCCAGTCCTGCACACGCGTGCTGAGATGGGTCTAAACAAACCTGTGATGGACCTCTGCGCCAACCAAAAAGCCAACGGGGGAACATCGACTTTGATTGAAATTTATCAAAAAGCGTCGACGCCGCCAAAGCATCGTCGGCAAGGTTCCTGAGTATGTCTCAGAATACAACAGAAAAGTTCATGTCATCGATGGAATTGGCGAATGCAACAGAATGCACAAGTGCAACAACCAGCGACTGAAGTAGATCCAGGTAGAAAGAATCACTGCCCCTCCCCTTTCTGCCAACCTGGCAAAGCGCAATCACCGTGGAATACGACCCTGTCGTGCCCAAGACGTAGATGCTCTCTCCTGTGGAGGGACAGAGAAACCATGGCATAGGACATGACATGGAAAAAGATGGCATAGGAAATGGCCACGCACTGGCACGTGCCTGCTTTTGTAGCCAAGAGCCGTACAAGGAGATCACAACAGTCTGGAGTCCGGAGTATTAAGACTTCTTCTCATCGCAAATCTACACTTTACAGCGAGCTAAAGACGGGCGAATCATGACCAGGGTGTGTTTGTTCTCAATCCGGGCGCAAAGATAAGAGCGTCCTGCAAAGACTGCATCATATGAGGTCCATGGAGTGGTTGCTCTAAATTGATCTGTGCTGGTCGCGTTGTTGATCAAGGCCATCTGTTCCTAGGTGGATTCCCGAACCCGGGACAACTCTTCTTCCAGAAAAAAAAGAAACAAATCATTCGACCAAGGGCGCCAAATCCTGAAAGGACCTTGCTGATGTTTCCCTTTATGTCCTGTTGATTTAGTTTTGGATTTCCATTGGTATGAGTCCACTAAAGCTTAGTCCAAGAACAAAATATCTCAGAAGAGCTGGGGCAACCCAGCAAGTAAGCGCCTGATCCAATGCTCTAGACTCTAGACATAAGCTACAGCAAGACCCTTCAACTTCAACTATGTCAGCCTTTCCTGGTCTTTGATCCAGAACAGGATGCTCTTTTCAAACCGATCCCTTCAATCAGCCACAACACTTTGTCGGGACCCTCAAGGGTCTTTTCAAGTCTGCGTGGATGTAAGCATTCATTAACTCTCTATCTCTTGATTGCTTTTGGCTCAGGTAGTTGCCCTGCTTTGGGGCCCCGGCCCAGTACATTCCTGACTCAAAGAAGAAGTGGCCCGTGTCCCCAACCTGGAGCAACACGATCTGACATGTTGCACCCCGGTCATTCAGTGAGCCATGTAAGGCCAATGGCTCCAGGAATTTTGCCGTACTAACCAAGTAGCCTGTTACAGTAGGGTGATGCCCACACTCACATGGGCACGATGTCTGCTGTCGAGCTGACCACCCCTTCCCAAAGGGTAGAAAGGTGCGGAAGCTAGACACTGGCAGCTACAATGGTCTCGACATGTCTCGACGGTGGCAGGAGCGGAGAACAAAAAAATAGATGCACCAGAAATTTTGAGATTGAATTGCAATCTCTTCGAACATCTTCTGTGCATCTCCAGCATGTGACCTCAAAAATTGGTACCTGTTTCGCGGCGTCGATAGCATAGTTTGATGATAGAGCAGCTCTCTGGTGATGTTGCCAGTTTGATTCTTAGAAGTGAGATGTGGCGGCGAGCATGGTTGAAAGGGATCACAATGCAAATGCCTTCAGAGAGAAACAACTCGCCAGGTGAAAAAGGAAGCTTAGCTACTCTACAGTCGTTCTGTTCTCTATGTCTTTTTCAATGGAGTTAATCAGAACAGACTGCCGCTGGGAATCTCCACATCTCACCTGCCCTGTTCTACCAGAAAAACCTTGCCTTCAGCCCGCCAATCAGCGGATTTGAGTTGGTCAAACTGATCTCCTCCACGTCTCCATAGCTCGCCAAGCTGCAAACGGGGGGCCAGACCGAGACAGGACAAGCGAAGCCTCCTAGAATGTTCTTGCATATCCATGGATAAAAACGGCACGCGGGGATTGCTTTTGTGTAGCGTCCTTTTCTCCTAGTAGTAAGGCCAAGAGCCCCTAGTAGCGTCCTTGCTCCTAGTAGCGATGCCAGGAGCCCCTAGTAGCGTCCTTTGCTCCTAGTCCGTATATTTGGTTCTGCATGGAAAGACATAGAGCACTCACATTTTGTGACCATAGAAGTTGACTACACAGCTAGAAGTTGTGACCGAGCCGATCGATGCCTGTTTACCGCAGGCCCTTCAATCCTGAGAGAAAAGGCGGCTCCGCCACTCAGGTTAAACGGTTTTGAGCCCAACGCACGGTCCGTGAAGGCCACCTGTGACTGCGGTGGGCGCAGCGCAGTTGTTGGCCGCCATGGCGAACATCAACCCGTTCTGGTCGGAGGACCTCCAGGAACGAGCTCGGTTGCTGGCATCGAGGCCAGAAGATCTGCCGGTGGTCTGAGCTGAGACTGTTTGGAGAGGGATCGGATGAACTGCTGCCGGACAACCATGAAACCCTGGACCGACCTGTTGGACCTCGAAGCGGAGTTGCTGCTGGGAGTGTTGAGGATCCTGGGCGTGGTGGAGGGCACGAAAGGGAAGCAATCAGTGCATGTGTTGGTGGACAAGGTGACCGCGATGAAAGCGAAGTACCTGACACCAGAGACCTGGAAAAGAAGGTGAAGATCAGCACTGGGCGGTCGACCATGAATGTCCCTCGTGAAGAACGACAGCAGGAATGCAACGACCCTCCAATGCCTCCAAGAAGTTGGATGGGACAAGCTTTGACTCCACCAAACAGGGAAGGGGCAGAAGATGAAGAAATCCATGGAGATCGACGAGTACAAGGTCATCACGGTGATCATCGCCAACGGCGCGAACCTGTACATCGAGCACGGCTGGAGGTTGACAGTGACCTGCAACGTGAGCTTGAACGGCAAGTGGCGGAGGAGCTACGCAAGCAAAATGATGAACTACGACAACAAATTGAGTTTCTGAAGAATAAGGATGCCTCACGACAACGACCTGCTGATCATGATCAGACTAGTCTCCCTGCCCAAAGACGCCGACAACAGTAATTTTCACAACTATGGAGCCACCTGCAGAACCAAGACGAAAACTGGGGGAACTCAAGTTCCTACGCGAACACCTCCTGATACGCAGGTTGGGCATCGTGGTGATCTACCGGGCGCGCTTCCATGGCCATGGGCAAGTGAGGCTCAGGGAATGTCCAGTGATTGGGCGATCCCAAAACGACGACTTCGTGCACTACAAGGACGTGATTGCGGGGTACAAGAACATCTTTTTTGTGGCCGCGGGGCGTGGCCTGATGGTGGAGTCCTACATCCTAAGGAATGCGGGGACAATCGTCGCGAAGATGGACTGCGAGAACACCATGGAAAGGGACATGGCGGTGAAGCGGCAGTGACCGGATCCATCACTGCAAGGCTCCCAACGTGGTGAACGTGATGGCCAAATGACGGACAAGTACCGCAGGTCAGGATGCAATGGCTTGAACGTGAACTTGAGGAAATTCCAGGGAGGCTCCGTGACCAAGAAACTGAGCAGCAGAAACATTGTGCGATGCTGTGACAGCGGGCAAATGGGTTGTGGACTGTGTTGAACAACAGGGAGGAGGTGGGTGAGATCGGAGAAGGAAAATCAACGATGCCTCCACCTCCCCGCAAGAACATCATCACAGTGCAGGGGAAAGCACTATGGGCGGTGCAGTGACGGGGGAGCCACTCGAGCGGGAAAGGATGACCTGCGGGCCGTCAACGCGGCGCTTCCGAAGTTGCCAGATGAAGGTTCTCATCAAGCAGCACTTCGATGTGGAGATTGGCTGGCAGGGATCACTCCACTAGTGGCTGATGTGAGCACCTCGACTGGACAATGGTGGACGCCGTTGATGGACCAAGTGTATAAAAAGCGGTTGGCTTCAGACGCTCTCACGAGACTCAGCGTTGAAATTGACAATTCAATTCGCCGCTGAAGGCAGAAGTGGCGGCGGCTCGCAAGTTGACAGCAGGCGCAATCATCCTGGAGGTCCTGAAGCGGTATCAACCGAATCTACAAACTCCAACACCGGCAGCCAGTGCGATTGATGCGGTGGACAAACTTCGGAGCTGGAACAGGAACATCATCCGTGCAGGGGAGCTTGCGGTGACTTTTCCAGATCCAGTACTACAGATCCAAGCTATGGTGAAGACTGTCCTGGCGAAGGAACCGCAGGTGTCGTTTCGCATTCAAACATGGCGACATCAGCATGGCCTGGACGTCAAAGCTGACCCGTCACGATGCTGCAAGCCGAGATGACAACCATCTCATTGACTACCGCCTCAGGAGCGAAGGACCAAGGTGAAGCAGCTGCAGAACGCGCAAACCCAACTTACATCGACAAGTACAGGGGCATGCAAATTCTGGGGCGCCACCACTGGCTGCTCAAGGGGGGCGTAGTGCAAGTTGGCTCATGCCTGGGATGGCATAGAGGATAAAACATCTCGGTGCTGGGAATGCTCAAGCCTGGAACACCGGAAGAACACCTGCCCAACCCTGACCGACAAGAGCGACAAATCGGCGGCTTAAAGGGGGGAGCACCAAAACCAGTTGCTCAAGGAGGTCACATACCTACTGAGGTCATTAAAGACACCACAACCCGCAGTGAGAGCATTGGTCGCAAAAATCACGCATGAAGGATGCGGGGTACTCTACACATATGCTGCGCGCGCCACAATCACAAGCAGAGTGGGACGAGGCGGAGGAGACCGCTGTCCAAACTGCGACGGGTGAATGTGCGCTTCGCCAAATTGGGAATGGTGTCCTCCGACAGATGACAAGGGGGTAGCATTATTCCCCTCTTGAAATAAGTGTCGCAGGGAGGTGTCATTGAATGGCGACCGGTGCAAACTACGTCATCCTGTGGCAGGAGTCCGAAGAAAAAGATTCAAGGGGTTGTGAAAGCCCTGGTGCATGGCGATGATGAAGTGTTGGATCTGAACACGCTCAAGAAGAAGTTCTCTGGCGCACCTTTAGAGCAAGTGGCAAAATTGGCTGTCCGGAGGGATGTCAAGTCAACGGATATTTCATGGAACGGGAGGATGAGGAGGAGTGTTGTGAAGGCAGACTATGTGGTCCTCAATCTCTTCAGTGGTCCAGACCTCGGATGGTGGACGAAGCAGGTGCCTGCAGGGTGGGTGGTCTTGAACGTGGACATTCTTCAAAACCCAGACATGTTGAAGGATGCCACCATGGCATACCTGATCAACGTGGCGAGATCTGGCAAAGTAAAGACGTTCCTGGCAGGACCCCCTTTTGCAGGTCCGTCTCAGTTCTCCGACTTCGGGAGGATGGCGGGCCTCGCCAAGTACGTGACTGCGAAGGACCTGGAAGGTGGGGGATGAGCAAGTTGAGACCTCACGAACAGGCACTTGTGGACACAGACAATCAGCTGCTGTTGAGGACCTTGGTTCTGGCAGAGCTTTGTGAGTCAGCAAATCCGGGGGAGACTGAGTTCATCGTAGAAACGCCGGAGGACCCGGAACGCTACCGTGGTGGGGAAAACATGCCTACCTTCACGGTTTGGCCAGAAGTGAAACAGGTTTTGGAGGTGGACCTGAAACTGAAGCGCATCTCCGTGGAGCAAGGAGCCCTTGGCCATGAGCGAAAAAAGCCAACATGTTTGTCGTCTTCCATCCCAGAAGTCAACACAGCTGGATCGCGCAGTGTCTGAGTCGAAACAGCTGGCAGCCTGGGCACCTGGACTCAAGCAGACCGTTGTGAAGTCATTGAGTTGCATTGGTGTTGGTGGACGTCCGCAGGTCAAGACACTCAAAAATGGTACAAACTGGAGCTGGTATCAGCACATCTTGAACGACACATTCCTCACAGGCGGGATTGCCGCAAATGTTTGCGTGCTGGAAGGGATCGACCAAGACTTTGCCAGCAGTTCCCAGGAGCTTTTGCAATGTCAGTTGACATAGCAGGACCATACATACCTGGATGCGACCAGGACCAGGGTCAACCCAAGTACTTCCTCATCACAACGGCGACGGCGCCAATCCGTCAGGACCGCCCATTGATTTGGGGCTGGCGTCCAGACGACTCCATCGAAGAGGTCGAAGAAGGTGCTGAGCATATGTTCCAAGACAGGCAAGAGGTGATGCCGGAAGAGCAGGATCCAAACCCATTTAGAGGGGCTGACGATGAGGCAGCGGCGCAGGCGGGGGAAGCAAACTTGGCATCGTTTGAGCAGTGCGTTGCAGAGCTCAAAGACGTGGGGTCAAGCACTTGGCGTTGGCAACACCTCTCCTCAATCGCAAAGAAGCGACAGTGCTTGCAGCGACGGCCAAACTGTTTGCAAGATACCGTGCTCTGCAGGTTCCAATCTTCCGCATTGAGACGGACAGGGCGAAAGAATTCGTGTCCAAGCGATTCAGGGAGTGGACAGCTGCGAGAGACCTGGAGCATTGCTATACTGGGGACGACGAGCCTACTTCTTCTGCAATCTGCTGGACTACCTATTAGGGAGTGGCCCACCGCCTTGAGGCATGCTGCCGACAAAAGACACCATGGACAGCTACGCGCACTTGGCTTGGACCTCCCAAGATTGGGGGACTTCAAGCGGCTCGAGGAAGTCATCCGCAGAAGGACAGAGCTGATGCAGCTGAGCTTCTACACACTGACAATCCACACTCCGTTGCGAACCAGCTGAAGGAGGCTGCTGAGTTTTGGGAAGTGTTTGATGACGTGGCACAACCACCTTCACTACCTGAGCAGGAGGACTTTGGTGAGAACGATGATCATGCCCGCGCCGATGACTTTGAGGAGGATGTCCATGGCCTGTTGGTGACCACAGTGGAGGAAGCAGGCGTGGTGGACAACCGATATCGGCTTCATGGTGAACTTCATCGCGCGGATCCACTGCCGCCTACGATACCAGGGATGCCATCAGGTCCTGACGGGCCGCAGGGCGACCATCAAGTACCTCAATGGAGAACAGCCGGGTCGCCCCACAGAAGACAATTGGATGGAACCTCCAACATGTGAGGATAGGATGGACAACAAAGTTGAGGGCTGGTGGACTGCTACACCTTCCTTGAGCTCCGTGATCTGCCTAGGGGAACTGATGGACCACCATGAAGCTACTACCAGGGTACACGACCTCGAGGAGCATGGGAAGCGCAGGAAAGTGCACTGCTGGCTTGCTGCAGCGGCAAAGGCTCGAACACGAGCTGCAAACAAGGCACCATCGAAGTCTGCGCCACCTCCGCCACCTGCTGAGCGCTGGGAAAATACACCAGATCGCTTGAAGCAGGTTGTCCAGGCTACCTCGAATGCCTTTTAAGATGCTCCACAGTGTGGGAAGGCTTGATCCAGCAGGCACTGGCATTGGAGCGAAACCCACCTGCAGATGTTCCAAAGCTGGAGCTGAATCTGACGAAGAGCACAACACCAGATGGTGAACCATGCTATGTGGCAACTGCCACTGCCACGGCTGGGGGTGGCTCGAGTGGAAGTGGGACGACACTGCGGACCCCGGACACGACCTTGGCACAAGATGGAAGCGATCATAGCCAGCAGCCGGCACCAAGCTCCGACCATCGAGGCGGATATCGCCAGGGTGGCGCACAAGCCCGCGGCCAGGCGGCTATGCATACTCTCCCACCGGGACTCCCTGGTGGACCGATCCAGCAGGCCACGACCTCGTTCCACGCCTTGTACGAGGCGAATGCGCCGCCGTCACTGGACGCGGAAGGTCCTGATGAATGGGACTTTGTGGGCATCCAGAGTGTCCGGGCCACATCGTCACAAGGTGACGTGTACGATGGCTATGACGTGTAAGGGGCCTTGAGCATTTTGCAGATTCCAGTGAAAGCACTGGAAGGGGGAGTGCATGGAAAGACATAGAGCACTCACATTTTGTGACCATAGAAGTTGACTACACAGCTAGAAGTTGTGACCGAGCCGATCGATGCCTGTTTACCGCAGGCCCTTTAATCCTGAGAGAAAAGGCGTGCTCCGCCACTCAGGTTTAATTCTTCATAACCCTTGCAAAGACAAGTATATCCAGTTCTCTATGTAGGGAATCGGCAGAAACAAATGCCAAAAACCCATCACATCTGAATCCCTCTGGCAGCCTCTGTCTGCGTTTGAATGTGAGGACTTCAGAAGTGGTACACACCTTGTTGCTTTCCTGCCCCGCCCGGCCTAAAGCGAATGACCAGACCAGTGTTGTAGGTCACCAAATACCCATAAGTGCCATCCTGCACACATGGAGAGAATGGTTTTCCAGTGGTAGAAGACCTGCAGACCTGCTTCCCACGACCTGCGGCAACAAAGATTCAGCTCACCTGAGACTGAACATGCTGCGAACTCTCTTGGCTCAAGAGTCTTTCGACTACGAGATAAGCCCCATCTAAAAAAAGTAAAAAAGATATCAATGGATGCAAACAGGCATGCAAACAGGAAGGCTCCTGGAATCCAGCGACAAATTTTACCCAGTTGGCAGCATTGGAATTTGATTGCGCTGTCAAATCCAAGAACTCCTTGGATGGGTCTCTCCCGGCGAAAATACAGGAAAAGCCATGATAACATGATGGCAGGGGCTGATTAGAACCAATCAAGTGTCATGTCCTTCACCAGAGATGGGTTCGTAGTTAGTCACGGTAAGGTACAAATTTGGATCAAGGTCTTCTCCCAGCTGAGCATCTGGGCTCTCTGTGTATGAGACTGCCGCCGCCATATTAAAACGCACCACCACACCCATGGCTGCAGGCGTTGAATCCTGGCAAATGAAGAAGGCCCAGAAGGAGCCAAAGTTGCAAGGCCTTTAGAGTGGACTGGACCTTTCATCGCAAACAAGTGAATTGTACTCTGAATGGGTTCTTCATCCACGAGCAAGTCATAAAACCCAAACATATTGGGCGAGCCAAAGCCAAACAACTTGACCCAAATACTTAGCAGTGACTTAGGCACTGTGGCCAACTTCATGATCGTCTTTAACCGTTCTATCACGCTCCTGATAGGGCACGAGGTAGCCTGAGCACGTTGGAAGACTTATGGGTGAGATTCGCAGGCGGCACATCTGGATTCCCAATTCAAGCACAATGCCTGGTGTCCAAAACATGCTACGTGCATTGATCACTTTTTTCGTTCAGTTTGGTTTCTCTTTGATGATTTTGTTGCAGCTATTGAGCATGTCAAGGACACTGTGTTCTATGCCACAATTAGTGCTCGTCAAACCAACTGCCAGGAGATTCTTGTTCCAAGGAATGCGGCAATGCATCGAGTGCACAATCGGGCCATGAACACCAAGAACACCGAGCTGTCCATCCCAGGGTGAAACTTCCTGGAGTTCTTAAAGCAGTTTCTCTCTTTCACCGTAGCTCCAAGCTACACATGTCGCCATCCACAAAGTAATCACTGAAGTGATAGAGCCGAGAGTCCTGGGCTCGGACGAGAAGGGACCACAAACACCAAATTCGGGAGAGTGCTGGGAGTCTGTTCTTCCTGTCATGCAGGTCGAACCGACTTAATTTTCAGTCCAAACCCACCGAATATTGGGCCCATACCAATCGCGCCAGAGTAGGAGAGCTGGAGCAAGGGTGAAACATTCATGTTACGATCACCAATCAGTAGTTAATCTTGGTTAGATCAACAAGGGCTCTTCAGCACGTTATCTTGTCTGACAAAGCCTGACAAAGTCTGACAATGGCATTTTGACACCTCATCCTTTAAGAATGCTGCATCAACCGTGCTTGCCGTTTGGTGGAATGGTCAATCCAGTCTCAACTAGAACCACACCAACTTCATGCCAGAGATTCCTGAGTGGTGAGGTCTGAAGTTCGGTATTCCATGGAGGTGTCCAGGTTCAACATGGAGAGCTTCCCTCCCATTGGGATGAGGAACCTCAGTCGCATGAACCCACCACACTGCTACACGTTCAGCTGCCCAACGTCATGCACATGCGGGTGGTCGATATGCATATATCATGGGCTTTCTGTGTCTGTGTGCTTTTGCGTTGCCCCCATCACTGGTCACATTCTCCAAAGTGAGTCCACGGAGGTTGACACAAACATACCACCACTAGTAGCTTCTTGCTCCTAGTAGCGATGCCCTTTGTCACTAGTA